CTCGAGCCCAAATTTGAGCTGAAGGTTGAAATTTTCTGTGTGGATCATAAAACACGTAGTTAATAATTGTTGCAAATTTGGAGACGTTCCAGTGACTTTCAAAAGAGAAATCATGAAAAAACCGTTTGTTCATAAATTTCTGGCCACTACTGTATATTCCTCAACACATTGTGTACCACAAGAACCATCACGTGGCGCATTGTCTTTTGCACGCGCGACCGTGTACGCTGCGTGACATACGGTTTTTGAATTGGATTTTCTCAACGCTGGATATTATTTATCCCGGTTTTGTGGGAGGTATATGTTTCCCTACACAAAGTGTAATCAAAATGTGACCGAAGTAGGTGATGTGCACGAGAAGAACAGCGGGTGAGCTTTCACGAGCTTTTTCTCAAAATCATATCTTTCGGCGGCCAAAGTCTCGAGTCTCACGGCGTTGGGCACCCGAAATGGACTTAATTTAGAAGCCTGCTTATGTTTGTCCGAATCTGGTATTAAAATCAGTTACGAAGGTATGGCAAAATATGGGTGTAACATATCCAATCCTCACAGAGGTCTTGGTGAAAGACGAAACCGGTGTTCTAAATATTCTCCGAATCTGAACATTGTTACTGCTGTTCAACGAACAGGCTAATGCTGGTCGTAGGTAGCAAAACTATCTTGTTTTTCATCGCTGTTTTCTACTAAAGTTGTCGACATTGACTTTTGGATCCTCAACTACGGTTATTGATTGATTAAGTGTTTAGTACCCGAGCGATTTCGATACGCAAAGCTACGAAAAGTAGAAAATGTAAAATAATGATTCCTAATCCAATACCTAGTTCATTCGGGAGAACCACAAGGCGGAAGTGCACTAATAAAAGAAGACGAAAAAAAATCCGTCCTCTGTGGGCGATGCGCCGCCATGTGACGTACCACACTGCAGGTGCCATACGTGCTAACTGCTATCGCAAAAATGGCTTGGCACACGATGCGTTGAAATAAAGTTTCAGGGAGTCAAAATCCGTGGGCAAGGCACCCACTGAGCCGTCTCCAAGCATTCGAGAGTCTAGCAGATTTTATTAAACCGCAATCAACTATTTAACGATTCAATTGTTGCTGTTCGAACGCTATATGATATCTCACCCATGGTAAGATCAGAATGGCTAAAAACACACCTTGAGTTTTCGTCGGGCGTTGAACTTCTTCAAGCAGTCTACTGTATCCTGTCGGTGCATCACTGATGCTACACGTTCACGATTCTGAACAAAAAGGGCATTGTAACGAGGCAATGAATGCGATAATGTACACAAAGGAAAGCCGCTGAATGTGGTAACTGATCATTAACGTACACAGATCCATGGCACTTTCAGCGCTTGATCGGCGGTGATTCGCTTTTTTGGATTCACCGTCAGCATGCTGTCGATGAGACTTTTAGCTTCAGGTGTCACCGTGTCCCATTCCGGACTCGGATACTATAAAATAACCTTTTGCAAAGGAGCATTTTTTGGGTGGCACAAGACCTTCAAAAAAGGCTGACTCACATCATAAGCGCCAGCTTTTATTTGAGCGTAAAGACGATGTTGATCTTCATCCCAAAAAGGTGGATAACCGACCAAGAGAATATAAAGGATTACTCCTAAAGCATAGATCATAAACGATAACGGAACAATGGATCGGTAAAGCAGTACAGACCACACAGCACGGAAAAGTGACGAAAAAGGCTATAACACGACAGACGAGGGATCGTGATTTGAATATGTTTGGGTTAAGGAATCGTATCGAAGAAGTTCGCAGCTACAAGCTCTAGCATTGCAGCTAGAACCTAAATGGTGGAAAGCCCCCCCCCCCGAAGTTGAGTAATGGACACGAAATTTGAACTGTATTGAATCGGACAATCGGAATTTCCCACACGCGCACCTTTGTCAGCGCCAACTCACCCAAGACTTAAAGGAATCTTCCACGGAAAGACTGCTTATCCTTTCCTTGTGTACAGGTGTTGGGCATGGTCATTGAAGACCATATGCAAAGTTCAGAGCGAAAATGATGAAACCCCCAAGAGAAACAGCCCTTGGAAAGACCCATCTGTGGGACCGGATTGGACCAGTAGGCGGGACCGGAAGTGCTTCTGTGACGAAGTGCGTGGCAGGTGCGGATCCACGTGTCAGTTTATGGGAAGGGCCCAACATGAATCCTGTTCACGTTCACGCTTTTGACACGTTTGCACGTGTTGACTCCACGCCGCTAACAGTTGTGGAAGTTTTACAGCGGGAATTCAAAATTTTCATAGTCGAACTGGTTATCATAATTATTATCAAAACCATCGCCTATGTTCCGTTCTTTTTGCTATCTTCATGAAGCAAGGGCCTAAGGTATCGTTTTTTGTAGGAATGGAGGCGATGTTTTTCCGTGGAAGATTCCTTTAATTAACACATTCACGCCGATGGCCGCCCATATGGGCTGCCAACTGATAATCGCTTGCCAGGCGCTAGGAATGGACAGATAGGTGGGCAAACCTCGTAATCGAGTGTAAAATGCTTTTAAATTCCTTCACGGGGAAAGTGAATAAATGCTCTCTTTTCGTAACCACTATTCGTCGTTCTGATCGAAATCCTACTGTTATATGTTTAGATAATCTTTACGCATTGGACATTGCAGAAATTATTTTGTGACATTCATGTTTTTGTTCATTTACAAAACAAAATCTGCGGTTATGTGGTGAGGCGGCGGCGCCCACAAAATCGCGTCCGTCCCACGCGACCGAAAAGTGGAAAAGGGGCGTCGTCGTGAATGTGTTAATATCAAAGGATATAGGCCAAAATGCGATATTAAATATCATCTTTGGAAAAGAAAGCAAAATTGGACTCAAGCTTCGGCTTGAGCTTAAATTTGCCTATTAGCATCCTGCTCTCCAACATCCACGCAGGATCATGCGCAGCCAAAACTATGTAGTAATTACATAGCTGAAGAAAATTGCGCAAATCTTGGACACACCCACTCACTATTACCTTCCCTGTAGTCATCAACCACCACACACGTATACGCCCACATCTCCAATAGAATTTTGAAAATGTACCAACCACATGCCCATATATCCACAGGCTTTCCATAAGGGTCCTTCTTCAGCACTTCTGGAGACAAGTAACCAGGAGTTCCGGCAAATCCGAACCATGCTTCGGTGTCTTGACCAACTTCAATGGCTAAGCCAAAATCAGCCAATTTCACGGCAGCTCCCTTTGCTTTACTGGCGAGCAACAGATTTTCGGGCTGAAAATGATTAAGTCAAGTCGTGATAATCATCGTATGGTGTACATGTCTACACAGCACTCAAACGCAAACGTTAGTGCACTCCTCTCCACACACTAGTCATTCAACTTCTGAGTAGAATGCTTTCGCAGGAATTCCCCGATTCTGATACCACTACCCTCTTAACCGATAACACCCACGTCTAGAATTTCCAACGAGAAGATCTTACAATTCATGCGAGAACCCCAAATGGCAGTGGGCACTCGTCTAAGGCATTCAATAAAAAACACGAAATTGAAGGATTCCACGAAGGTCGAAGAAGGGGAAATTGCCTAGTGGGAGACAGGCGGACCTCCTGAGGGTGCGGACCGACGCGCAATTGGCAGCGAAAGATTTGACCTCGGCGATCTAGCATGGCTCACTCTTGGCGCGGTTGGCGGGGTACGCCCACCGACTATCTAATCACTCGCCGCAGGTCTATACGCGGCGAGTGATTAGGTTGAAGAGGGCACAGCGATGAGAGTCGCATCAATGCGCAAATCAACGGGCAAGGAAGGGGTCCCATTTCTCGGGTTCTGGGCCGTTTCTCATGGTTTTCCTTCTTTCTTGTACCACTCACCATTTTGGGTTGCTTTTTCATCGCAAAATCTGCCTTTAAGATACTTACAGCAACCAGGATACGTGAGCGATGCTGCAATGTGGCAACACATTGGTGGGCGTGAACTGCGCAGCGCTTGCTCACCGTTCGCCGCGAGAACGCTACACCTCGTTTCTTTTGTCGCCTGCCTACTGTTTGCAGTGGTGCAGATATTTCACCCGCCGCATCCACTTACCGTAACCACTGTTGCAAAACCTTGAACTCTCGAATCGGCGCATTCCTGAGGATTCATAGGACGAAAGCGAATCGGCAATAATGTGGTGTGGAGATCAGATACGAATAAATGAAGGATAAAGCATTTGCCGTTGATCAATCCCTTTGGGATGCGGCACGCATTCTACTTCCATTTGTACATTCGTAGTGGCGTTTGAATGCGATGTGGCCTATACAATGACTTGCGGGGGCCAGCCGATGTACAAGTCAGTGTTTTTATCCTCCCAGACAAGTCTGGTACCAATTAACCGACCCCGGAGGGATGGAAGGCTTGGTTGGCCCGGAGAGCGCACGAGGCAGCCCCGGGCCACTTGCCACTACGCTCTTCAAAAGAGTTCAAATACGCAACTATGAATGCTGTGCGACCCGCTGAGTAAGAAGCAAAGGATATCGCCCAAATCTGCCCGAAATAGTGCTCTTTCTAGCGGTTGAATTTTAGCACTATATTTCCAGCGCTTTTTAACATTATCAGTATTTTTTAACTCTTGTCGAAAAAAATGCTAGGCCGCTGGCCTAAAAGGCAAAACGAAGAAGAGAAGTGTGAACACAGGGCAAGCCGGACGAGGACACCTGAGCAACCACGGTGTGGCTGCTTATGGGTGTTGGAGCATGGTAGGTGTTCTCGAGCTTGAGAGAGAAGCTTACAGCGCTCTAGCCAATAAGTTTGAATCATAAATTGGTACAAACTCTGGTAGGTTCAGCGGATTTCCTGCACGTAATGAACTGCGAAATGTGTCCTTGCATTTTACCGCTATTTCTCTGAAAGCATAGAATCGTACACTGTCACCACCTTCCTCACATCCCAGGCCTTCAGTAAATTGCATTTAAATGCCACTACGATCTGAATGGAATTAGGAACGCATCCCCAAAAAAAAACTAGGCTGCACCAACTGCTTCCTCATCCACTAGATAATTGTTGTTTTTTTTTGCAATTTCATCAGGAGAAGATACGAGGCCAATAAGAATGCGGAAAGAGGCGCCACTGTGTAGGCGCGACGATTTCGAGCACATTCTTACCATTCTTTAGAGAAACGCAGTGAAGCGGCATGAGCAGATACACACCGACTTATGTTACAAGGAACCGCCCTTTGACAGCAATTTTAAGGTTGTCAGTGCAAATGAGAAAATGACCCACACACCTTCAAATCCCTGTGCACAATGCAGTTTTGATGGCAGTAGGCGATTGATTCGAGAATTTGTTGGATGCAATGACTGAAACGGCACACAAACTGGTTAGTCACACAACAACAACGAAAAATTGTTCATGAGTCATTTCACAACTCCAACTCGCAAACGACCTACACCTTTGGCAACTATGAGAAGTACGAAGAGCTTTCATTTCATTTTTCGTGTTTACTAAGTACTCATCGGTGGAGAACTGTGTAACGCCCACCCAGCGAGTTGCTTGAGACTTCCTCAATTATGGAATACTCGAAACTTTCACACTCAGTTCGCTTCAACTTGTATTACCGCTCGAAAGACTACAGCATCTTGTATAGGTGAGAAATAAAGACCTCCACATCATACATACATATTCTTAGATTAGTGATGTGAAATCACCCCCACCCCTATGACGACGTAGAGAAAGAAAATTCCCTAGAACTAATCCGGTTAGAGACATCAACTCCTTCCAAATCTTACAATATGCTTCAGCCAAGACGAAAATGATTTCATCAAAGGCAGTAACATTTGAGAGGACAGACTTACACAATTTTATGCAAACTCAAAAAACAAATCGTTACAGTTTCCAAAGAACATTCCGTT